CTAAATCTTGCATCTTATCACAGAAGTTAGGCTGTAAAGACTTTTGGAAAATCTTCAACAGCATTATTAACAAAGGTAGATCTAACATTCCATCTCTCATTCATGGGACTGATCTTATTACCTCTCCCAAAGATAAAGCAGAACGATTTGCAAAGAACTTTTCTTCTAATTCCACTCTTGAATCTTATGGACACACTCTTCCTTCCATTCCAGTCAAACAGGTTGACCCATTGTTAGACATTCAAGTCACTCTGGCTTTTGTTGCTAAAGTCATATCTCAATTAAACTTGTCTACAGCTTGTGGTCCAGACAACATTAGTGTCACAATCTTGCAGAATTGTTCTCCAGAACTTTCTTCAATTCTCTCTAAACTATTTAACAAGTGTTTGACTGAGTCTTGTTTTCCTGCTTGTTGGAAAATGGTATCTGTGGTTCCAATATTCAAAAACTCTGGAGAAAATTCTGAACCCTCTAATTATTGTCCTATCAGTCTTCTTTCTGTTATTAGCAAGGTCTTTGAGTTTTTGATCAACAAATTCCTCACATCTCATCTTGAGTCAAATAAACTACTGTCAGACAATCAATACGGTTTTCGATCCTCTCGCTCTACGGCCAAAATGCTAACTGCTGTAACTGAAAAATTTTATTTTGCATTAGATGGAGGCGGTGATGCTAAGGCTATTGCTCTCGACATATCTAAAGCTTTTGACAAAGTTTGGCATGCTGGTCTTCTCCATAAGCTTGCTTCATATGGTGTTTCTTGGAAAGTTTTTGAGATTATCAAATCATTTCTTTCTAACCGGTTTATTAAAGTCATCCTTGAAGGCCAACACTCTTCTTTATTTCCAGTAACTTCTGGGGTTCCCCAAGGTTCCATCCTGGGCCCTGTTTTGTTTCTTATCTACATAAACGATCTTCCTGACAACATTTTATCTAAAGTAGCTCTTTTTGCTGATGACTTAACTTTATACTCCTGTCTTGACAAAAAGTCTTCTCTTTTCGATCGCCTAGAATAAGCATCTGATCTTGAATCCGATCTCACTTCAGTAATAGATAGGGGTTCACAGTGGCTTGTGAATTTCAACTCTAACAAAACCCAGTTGTTTACTGCAAACAACTACCGTAATATGGTCAACATTCCTATATTAATGAATGGTAATCCTCTTACTGAGTCCTCCTCTTTACGTCTTCTTGGATTATTGCTTACTACTGACCTTTCATGGAAACCATATATACAATCGATTGCTAAATTAGCTTCTGCTAAGGTTGCTTCTCTTTATCGTGTTCGCCATTTCCTTTCTTATGATTCCATTCTCTACCTCTACAAATCTCTTATTCATCTCTGTATGGAATACTGTTGTCATATTTGGGCTGGTTCTTCTAACGATTCACTTTCTCTTCTTGACAAGGTCCAAAAACGCATTGTAAATGTTGTTGAACCTGGACTATCTGTTAAGCTTGAGCCTCTTTCCCATTGTCGTAAAGTTGCATCTCTTTCTCTTTTCTACAAATACTATCATGGTCACTGCTCAAAGGAGCAATCATCGCTAGTTCCATCAACTAAAATTCATTCTCGTTTTACTCGTCATTCAGCTAAGTCTCATTTGTTTACTGTATCTGTCCCTGCATGCTCTAAAAACTTTTATTCATCTAGTTTTTTTCCCTGCACTTCAATCCTTTGGAACTCTCTCCCATCTTCATGTTTTCCTGACTCATACAACCTTCAACTTTTCAAGTCTTCTGTCAACCGTTTCCTTGCTCTATAGCTCTGTTCTTTTTTTTTTCTAGTAACTCCCAACTTAATATTGGTTGCTTGCAGCATTGCTGGGAGTGAATGCAAGTTAAAAAAAAAAAAAAATTAAACCTCAAAAAAAAGTAGACCTTTTGAAAACTACAACAGCTGCTTACCGTTTATTTTTTAATACTTTTTTAATAAAGTCTTTTTGCATTTCCCTTGTATTTTTATAACAACTTTAGAACCACAAGGTTTATTTTAATGTTTTGTATGTATATTGCAATGTCTATTTTTTATAAGTATTTTTTTAATTACAAGTCATATTATTTTTCAGAGCCTTCAAACATTCGATCCCACTGAAAATTGATGCGTCTTGTATTTTATTAATTATTTATTTTATTTGAATTTTTCATGCTATATTTTTCTTATAAGTTGCAAATATAATTTGTGGTCTTTAAACCTATTAAAGTACGCAACATTGCACATCAAGTGTGCCATCAAATCTGGAAACTTGTGAACACTTGCTCTTCAATCTGGTGAAAAGAGGTTTGACAATGTCATTCAAAAGCCAACAATCAGTGGGCCTGACAATGTTCTGATTTTGGAAATAATCCTACCAATGGAATTGCATCTCCTTATGGGAGCTGTGAATCATCTATTTAATATACCTAACATTGCCCTTCAAATTCTTATGAGCCCATATCACGGCGATCAGTTTGAGGGAAATAAATGCAGAAAGCTTCGTAAAAATATGGATGTGAACAGAGTTTGTATCAGCAGCTTGCTGATACAAACTGGTTTCCCAAAATTATTTATATAATTAAAGCATTCAAAAGTTTCATCTTAGTTGTAAAAGTTTGCTTTGGATTTATTCTTTAGCTGGATTTTGCTGAAATAATTCAAAATTTCTTAAATTTAATTTTAAAAGTACTTAATGAAAACTGGTACAAAAATAACATTCAAATTCAAAAATCAAAAATTAATAGCTGTAACAAAACTATTATAAAAAAGATTGCTAATAATTATGAAATGAAATTGAATTAATGCTTAAGGTTCAAATTTATATGGAAAATAGAAATGTTTTTGCAAATAAAACATTTTTAATTTATAAGAATTTTGCTTTGAATGATTTTTGTTTGAAAAGTTGATAGTTAAAGAACAGTAAAGTAAATTAATCACCAGTGCATTAATTGAATGATCGTGGACGCTGTCTTTTTATTAGTTGCAAAGGATCCCCCTTGGGGTCCTATAGTAAAACAACTTTCGAAACTGCTCATGAAGACTTTTGGTCTTTGGTCAACATTGGTCAACATTGGTCAAATAATAAACAAAGCAATAATTATCCAGAGTACAAAGAAAGATTATTATACTGCATAACTGATCTGAACAGTAAACATCTTTAAAGAACTGCTACTATGATTTGATTTATTATATTAGGTAGCAGAAAATTATCGATTATAATGAACTTTAGTGTTTTTATTTTAATTCTTAACTGCTGTTAGTGATTAATTTTAAAATTTCATATACTTGTTTAGTCAAATACTCTTCAATATGTAAACATATTGAAGAGTATTTGACTTAACAAGTATATTAAGCTATTTTGAAAAAAAATCTTGGGTAAAAAATCAAAGACTATGTCTTACATTTTAATCAAATGCTATTATTTTTACATTATATTACTAAATGGTAGTAATATAATGTAAAAAGGTTTTAAGGGCCAATAAAAAATCCTTCAACAAAAACTTTTTTTTTTATATTAGGCTATAAACACAGTCTTTGACAAATGCTATTTGATGGTAATATAAATTTATAATGAGGGTTTAAATAGTTATTTTTTCACTTCATTTTGAAAGTCAATGTATTGAAAAAAGGTTTTAAGGGCTAATAACAAAATCATTTAATAGAACAGATCTTTTAACAGCAACATTTTTTTGTTTTTGTTTTACCAACTGATAGTCATCTTGCCAGGTTTTTTACTTTTTTTAACACTTTTTTTAGCATTTTGGCAGTAGTTTATACTTCAGGAAATGTTGAGATATTTACAGTCTATAGAATAGAAATGGTACATCTAGCAATAAAACAATTATAATAAAAATTGTTGATATTACATGGTAGAAACACTCATGTGAACTTTATTTGGAAAATAGTGATTAAATATTTCAGTAATCACTAACATTTTAAGGTATAATTGAAAAAAACTAAAAAAGTATAATTTAAAACTGCCATAAATTTTTAACCAGTTAACCAATGAGACTGAAATTTTATCCAGAGTTTGGTGTGGCTATATGCTACATTTGCACTAATTTTTATCAAATTATATAAAGTGATTCTCATTCCACAGGTGTTTTTATTGTTGCACTATAAAGTCAAAATTTTACTTAATTTGAACATTTAAACTAAATTATTTTCTTTGGACAAAAATAAAAAATTTCAAAATTTGCATCACAGTGTACCTTGATATGTACATTATCCTACCCATATAAGTGGCGTTTTTGGGTCAATTAGGTTGGTTTTATCGGGATTTGTGCTAACCATGAAGTTATTACATGTATGATGAGATGTAAGTTTTAAAAAAAATTTGAACAACAGTTTTTAATTTATTTAATTTTATTCTTCCTGTAATTATAATCTTGCACACTGATCATATTTAACATTAAAGATTTTTAAATTTGATTTTTAAGGGTTTTTTTTTTGTTGTTGTTATTTAAACTGATTTTTAGTTATAACGTTATTTTTTGTTTTATGTTATTTTTAAGTTCATTAGTTCATGATCAATTATAAATATATAAATTATAAACAATTTTGTTCATGGCACAAATAAAATTTATTTTTAATATGCATAGTTAAAAAAAATCTTTTGATTTCTTTTTGATTAATTTTAATTTATCACACAGATTTTAAGTCTACAATAAAACAACTAAGTATATATAACAAAATATTGATTTTTGATTTGTAGTTTAATTATGAAAAAATAATTTTATTTGAAAAATTTTCTTTAAACTTTTCATTAACAAACTTTCTCAACAAGAAGATAAAATCTCTAAACTGTTTAAGTACCTCAAGTTTGACTAACTAAAATAAAAAACTTTATACTATAGAAATATATGTTTTTTACTAAAATCATTGACTTGTTAACTTTACCAAAAATTTAAAACAAAAATCAAAAAAAAAGTAAATTTTTAAAAAACAAAAAAACCTTTTTAAAAAACAAAAAAACCTTTTTAAAAAACAAAAAAACTATATAGATTTAAAAGCAAACATATACCTATAAATGAAATACAGGTTTTTATTTCAGTATTGTCTCCCACACAAACAAAAAACTGAATATTAATGCAATTTCGAGATCTAGTTGTAACACCTGATGCATTGCAACAAGACCATTCACTCCATTGAGACCAAAATGCTGTATAGCATAAAAATAAAATGATGTTTTAACTTTGGAAAATAAAGTATATATATATATATATATATATATATATATATATATATATATATATATATATATATATATATATATATATATATATATATATATATATATATATATATATATATATATATATATATATATATATATATATATATATATATATATATATATATATATATATATATATATATATATATATATATATATATATATATATATATATATATATATATATATATATATATATATATATATATATATATATATATATATATATATATATACAAGCTAATTTCTTGGCCTCCTGAAGGATTGAAATGTTGAGAGTTAACTGTGATATGTTATGCTATTTGTTAATTTTGTGATGTTATTTTTGTGTTGTTTTGTGTTAATAGATGACTTGGCATACCTTCATGTTGGTGTCTATAGTTAAAAAAAGTTATTGGGTAGCTTCATTACTGAAACTGACTACAAAAAGTCATTCACTAAAAACTTAGTATTCAGAAAAAATTTCAAACAGATAGAGCTAACTTATTTGAAATAACTAGGTCCCTTGATTTCCTTGAACTTCTTGATTTAGGTCCTGATTTCTGTGCCTATTTAAATAAATTTTAATGAGAGGGTTAAAATTTTATTATAGCCTAAGTTTCCAAAAATACCTGAAGAAATGTTACCCAACTGTCTTCTATGTTAAATATACATTTATTATGTTAAAAACAATGAAGTAAATAAGTACAGTAAATTATTTGTAAATTAGCTAAGAACTTTAAATTGATTTTTTTTGCCATTGACTAAAATGTATTAAAATATAGTGACCAAATAAAGAACAAGTTTAAAAATAGTCAGGTGTGGAACAGACTTTCTATGACCCATATCATACGGGTCTTGACAGCTAGTTTTGTATGAATTTACAAGTTATGAATTTCCTCATTCTGTAAAAAGCAATTTCTATAAACTTTCTTAATAAAGTTTCAAAGATGTACAACATCCAAAAAACTTAAATCAAGTTTATACTTATTAAATTTAATTATGAACTATTATAATTATTACCAATTAAATTTCTTTATGAAGCAAAAAAGATATATTAAAATAATATAGACAAGTACAGAAATCTAAACGTACCTTGATTACTGCATGATTTAACATCTATTTGTGTACTATTTGCGTAACAATTTAGCCAAAAATAAGTTGAACAAATGCGAGATCGTTGCATTAGACCAGAGTCACTACAATTTGACCACTCACTCCATTGTGACCATATAACTAAAAAATAAGAGTCAGGGTGACAACATCAGTTTTTGCTATGTCTAATAATATTTTTTCAATAACATCTATAAATATAATTAGTATAAATACAACTGTCCAACAACAATTGTAAATACACTGAGGTATAATAACATCTGTCCAACAACATCTGAAATTTTATTGATGTCTAATAACATCTTTGTAAAAAGTATATGATTATTACAGATGTAGTTACATCTTTTCAATTACCTAAGTATAACAACATCTGTGTAACTACATCTGGAAATTTTACAGATATAGTTACATCTTTTCAACTATGTAGGAAAAACTACATCTGTACAACTAAATCTGTGAATTCTACAGAATTCTATATGTAATTACATCTTCTCAATTATATTAGATATAACAACAGAATTTTATAAAATTATTATATAATAACGCATTATTTTAACTAGATCTAGTATCATATATGGCTTTTTTTCAGAT